CCCCCAAAAAGGAGGAGGGGGGACAGAAAGGAAAAAGAACCAGGAATCAAATAAAAACAGTGCAGGACTCCAGATCAGCTCAAAATCTACTATTTTTTAAAGAACAGTAGGACACAAATTGTCTGTTTGAAGACAGCCCACGTTGTGTTCTGAGCACGACTTTATCCGAATATGTTCTTTACCATGCATCTCATTAAAGGACCAACCTCTAAAATGTTTTATCTACATCAGTGTGTGAAACTTCCTGGAGATCCATGAGACAACTCTTAAGCAATTTGTTCTCTGAAAACCAAAACTCAAAGAGCACAGCTTCCCATTCAATTGTGTCCTTTACCCCTGAACTCCACTCAGTGCAATTACCCTAGTTTACACATATCCTTTGTGACAGTCTCCCTGGGCAGAAGAAAGCTCCCTTTAGTTTACAGTCACATTTGGGATGACTGACAGCCAACGGCTGCAAAACCAAGTGTGTAACAGCTGAATTGTGCTGTTTTTTCCTCAGTAGGATTCTCTTTTCATCCAGCTGCTGCTTTTCATGAACTTCTCAGGAATTTAATTATCTCTGAGATGTCTGTGTTCTTTTACAATATGATTAAAATTGGCCAAAAGATTTCAAAATCATGAAAAAAGGAAGGGAAAAAACCAACAATAAAATCATAGTGATAGAGCTCATTTCCTCAGTAAATTTGCAGCACACGCAAATTTTAAATCAAATAATTTCCTTTACGTTGCTCACTGGAAAAGCCTGAATTCTTAATTTGCTTTAGAACCCAAACATACTTTTCAATAGATGACCCTTAAAGTATCCCATAAAAATATATTTACAGTTTGCTTTTAGCATCATATGCTCACTACGCTTCCCCTATAGTAACCACTTATACATATTTTGTTACAATACCTTACCTGCTGGAGAACACAGAGAAGGCAAGTCAGACAGTATAGTAACAGTGGCAGCCACAAGACGAGCACTTTCCTCAGAGAGGTGGGATTTGGCAGCAATGTGACTTGGAGAATCGGACACTTTTGAACTCAGATGGGGCATGTGCCGTACTAGGATAAACATGAGCAATTCCATGGCTGCAAAGACTAGAGATTTTCCAGGCACAAGACCACCACTCTCACCTCCCTCTCCTAAAGCAAGAGGATTTTCTTTTTCCTCAGTATCATCTTCATCTGAAAAAAGAAAAGAAATCTCTGAGGAGACAGTTAAGAAAGATCCCATACCAAAGATTACATGAAACACTCTTTAAAAAAAAAAAATTAAAAATCAAGAAGAAAAAGTTGCTTCAACAGTAAGATATGACAAACATGTCTCATATCAAACTAAATGTTTTAGTTAGAATGACTTAAAGGGGTTTAAAATGCTTCAGAAGTATTGTGATTGCAACAATACTTATTAAAAATCCATCCAGAACTAGGAAAAAAAGTAGCAATACTTATAAAAAATAAAGATGCAGTAATTATTTTGCTTCTTTTAAAACTGATTGCAAAATTAACAGCCATGACTGCCAAATAAATAGGCATGACAATATTTTTTTAATTTAATGGCTATTGATTAAATGTTCCACCCTGACAAAATCTTATTTCAGCCTAAATTGATTACAAAATAAGAGAACAGAAAAGCATTGTAAGATTCTATGTCTGAGTTCATGATTTCAGTGCATTCAGTTCAAAAAGTCTCTCTTTTAAATGGCAGCTTGGCCAGCTGCAGTCTTTTCTTCTCCCATTAAACAGCAACAGAGATTCAGTAAGTCAAAGCTGGCCTAAACTACCCTTATGGAGCTCCTATGAATTTAAACGATTGCTAGTGTTATCACATTCACTGATTTGAAAAATGCAATTTACTGGGCCTACAGTAAACAATTCCATTAATTCATACGAAGGAACAGAGCTTGCATTTTCAGCTGTGCCGGTTCCTCAAGTTCCAGCAAAATCCTCTCTCTGTTTTTATGTGGAAAATGGGCAAAAGCTAACAGTTTTTTTTTTTTTCCTCAACAGTATATTGTGCCAGACTAAGATGGTAGTTTTCCATAGTAAGAGAATATTCTTTGGGTTTTACTTTACTTCTTTCAGGTAAAAGAAAACATGGTAGACCTAACCTAACCAGATATCAATAAACTCTTTGCCAGGTTGCCACTTGGAAACTAATTTACCTGGCAAAGATGGAAACAGTACATCCAATGCGAGATTTTTTAAAAAAACAGTAAATGGATGGTTGAACAGGGAGATGCTCTGTTAAAAGGAAGACGTTACTGAAAGTACCTCAGAAAGTAGCTTTCAGACTGATGCTAATACCCTTATCAAGGATATTCGTACATAAAGTAGAAATAAACTAACAGAATATGCTGATGAAAAGCCTAAGCAAAACATCAGAAGCTGAAATATCATACCAGAAGAAGCAGGGATAAAATAAGAAATAATGAATTTTACTAAAGCTCAATAAGTACAGGAACAGGATTTAGGTATATCAACTCATCAGAGAATCTCGGAAAAATTTAAGTTGAAAGGGACGTGCATAAGTCATCCAAGTCCAATCTCCTGTTCAAAATAAGGCCAACTTGAAAGCTAGAGCAGGTTGCTCAGGGCTGGTCCAGTTTTGAATATCTCCAAGCATGGAGATGCCACAACATCCCTGGGCACCTGTTCTACTGCTTCACCACTCCCATGGTGACAAATTTTTTCCTTGTATCCCATCCGGATTTCTGTTGCTACAACTTGTGTCCGTTGCCTCTTGTCCTTCCACCATATCCCTTCCAGAAGAGTCTGGATTGGTCTTCTCTTTAAATCCCCTTTAAGAAGGGGGATTGCTATTATATCCCATATTAACCCTCTCTTCTGCAGACTAAACAAGTTCAGCTCTCTCAGCCTCTTCTCACATGTCACATACTTCACCTCCCTAAGCAGCTTAGTGGACCTCCACTGGAGTTCCTTCAGTTTGTCAACATCTCTCTTATTCAGGATAAGGGGGAATGGCTAAGAAAACCAGACACTGCTCCAAATGCATCTTCACAAGCTCAAGTTGAAAGGAAAATCATATCCCTTAATCTACCGGTCATGCTTTTCTAATGCAGCCCAGTAATAGAATCTTCAGCATTGCATAGGCACACCACAGATTCACATTCAATTCGTTATCCAGCAAATCTGCTATTCAGTCTGTCAGCCCCCCAGCCTATACCAATGTACAGGGTTATTCCATCCCAAATGCAGGATTTTGCATTTGTCTTTGCTGAACTTCAGCAGGTTCTCAGTCCTGCAGCTTGAGATTCCCCTGAAGGGCAGCACTGCCCTCCAGTGTAACCACCGCGTGCACAATTTGGTATCATCCACAAATTTGCTGAGGGTGCATTCTGTCCTATCATCCAGGTTGTTAATGACGATGTTTAACAGTAGCAGACCCAGTACTGAACTCTAAGTTGCAACCAGCTGCCACTTAGACTCGAATCACCAAACTCCATTCAAGCACAGCAGTCCAGCCAGTTATTCTCCTACTTTTCAGTCCACATCTCTCCAATTTGACAATGATACTATAGGGTACTGGGTCAAAAGCCTTACAAAAGTCAAGGTAAACAATATCCACCACTCCCCCTTCATCCAAAGCCAGTTATTTCATCACAGAGGGTGATTAGGCATTATTTGTCCTTGGTAAGCCTTTGCTCACTATTTCAAATCACATTCTTCTACTTCATGTACTCAGAAGTGGTTTCCAAGGGAATTTACTCCAAAATATTTCAAGACACACAGTAGGCTTACTGGCACATAGTATCCCAAAACTCACCTCACATCTTTACTTATTGAAAGTTAGACATAGCATCTACTTTTTGCCATTCATTGGAAAGCTTTCTTGGGCACCATAGCTTTTCAAAGATGACTGCAGCAGCCTCAGCATGTCATCAGCCAGCTCCCTCAGATGCATCCCATCTGGTCCCAGGGTATGTCCAGCTTTTATCTAACCTGATGCTCATCTACTGTAGGTAGCAATTCTCTCCCCTAAACTTGCTCACTAGACACAGAGACACAGGAGGACTAAGCAAAGAAGATAACAGTGCCTCAGTTTCCCCCCCAACGTGTTTTGTCATTAGATCACCCAATCCTTTCAGCAGCAGATCCAAATTTGCTTGGTCTTTTTGCTGCCAACATATCTATAACAGCTCTTCTTTTCCCACTTGACATTCATCACCAGTCTCAGCTCCAGCCAAATCGTGGCTTTCTTAATTCCACTCCTCCATACCTGAGCAGACGTCTTCAGTAGTCTTCCTGGGCAGTTTGGCCCACTTGCACCATCCATACACTTCCTTGTCACATTTGAGCTCAGTCAGAAGTTCCCGATCAGCCAAGTCAGCCTCCTGCCATGCCTGTTGGGCATCCTGCACTTTTGGATGAGCTATTTTTTGTCACTGAATATGAACCACCTCTCTTTCCTTTGCCCTTCTGGGAAGCTTACCACAAGATCTCGTCTGCAAGCTCCCTGCACAAGCCCAAGTCTGCTAAGTCAGGCCAAAGCTTCTGCTCTGCTACTTGCTTTCTCCATTTCCCTCAGGATCGAGAATTCCATTATCTCATGGCTGCTACAGCCACAACTACCATTAACCTTCATAACCATTTCTTCTGTATTAGTGTCCTGGTTTCGACTGGGATGGAGTTGATTTTCTTCCTATTAACTGGTAGAGTGCTGTGTTTTGGATGTAGTATGAAAATAATGTTGATAACACACTGATGTTTTAGTTGTTGTTAAGTAGTGTTTACACTAGTCAAGGACTTTTCATTTTCCTGTGCCCTGCCAGGTGCGCAGGGGGCTGGGAGGGAGCGTGGCCGGGATGGCTGGCCCAGATGGCCAATGGGCTATTCCATACCATATGACGTCATGCTCAGCATATAAGGCTGGGTGAAGAAGAAGGAAGGGGGGGGACATTCGGGAGTGATGGCGTTTGTCTTCCCAAGTAACGGTTACGCGTGATGGAGCCCTACTTTCCTGGAGATGGCTGAACACCTGCCTGCCGATGGGAAGTAGTGAATGAACTCCTTGTTTTGCTTTGCTTGCGTGCATGGCTTTTGCTTTCCCTATTAAACCGTCTTTATCTCAGCCCACGAGTTCTCTCACTTCTGATTCTCTCCCCCATCCCACCGGGGGGGGAGTGAGCGAGCGGCTGCGTGGTGCTCATTGGCCGGCTGGGGTTAAACCACGACAATTAGTGAGGACCAGATCCACTTCCCTTATTTGGACTACCCAGCACCCGGACTGAAAAAAAAAAGTGCCTCATACGCTTCTGAAAGCTTCAGATTGTTAGCATCCTGCAGTGTTGCCCTTCCAGCACATGTCTGGATACTAAAAGTCTCTCATGAGACTCCCATAGCTTGCAATTGGAAGGCTTCTTCCAGTTGGTTTCATATGGCTTTACCCACCTCCTCTTCTTGATTAGGCAGTCTGTGGCAAACAAGAAGAGAGTTCCTGACCGGTGTCACCCTTCACTTCCTCTTAGTGGTATCAGTTCTGACCTGTCAAAGAGGGATGGCTGGCCCAGATACCTACCCTGACAGCTTGTTCCTCTTCTCCTCTTGCCAGATCTCCATAGTGTTCTCCAACTGGATGCCTAGAGATAACGCCTTTTGTTGCTGGAAGTCACAACCTTGCAGCCTCCACCTTCATGGGAGTCCCATCCTCCAGGGCCATATTGCAGCACAGCCTATGGCTGTCCCTCCTGTGACACATGGGGCTTGGGCTCCTGCACCTGCAGGATCTCTGTGAAGAACACGTCATTCTTCCATTTGCCTTTCCTGACACTACACATTCTGCTCACCTTCACATGCATTTCCTTCACATCTCACAGGTGAGACCAATGTCGCCTCCAGCCCTGGCTGCATAGACAAGCACCTGGAGGAGAGTCACATCAGGACTTTCATCTGAATTTCAAGCCAGGTCATTAGACCTCTGATGTGCCAGAGGTGATTGTTCCTCAGTCAGCAGACTGTGTCTTGCTGTATGTCACTGCCATCATTATGCTGACTCAAGCAGTCTTGTACAGTCTTGAGCAGCACTTCTGGGCTGTATGAGCATGCCTTTCCATGCCGACTGCCTTGCTCCTTTTTGCACACCCTGTTCCCAGAGCTCCTGGTTGCTGACACACCCTGAGTGTCAGTGAAGTAAGAACCCAGATGCAAGTCTGCTCCAGTTCCTGGCAAGATCTCCTGGGCAGGCAACTTTTCACACTGGTTCCAGTAGCAGTTCACTCACCTCACGAATGCCAGGTGCGCCAGGGATGCACCACAAGACCCTACATTGGGGGCTGAACCATTAAACTTCAGAAAAAAGGTAAATTAAGTGCTAGGAGGCAGTCAATAGAGAAACATTAATGAAACTGAGCAAGGTATTAGTAAGACCTTAAGTGGTGTGCTGGGTATAATTTTTATCACCCATATTCAAGAAAAATGAATGAAAACCATGACATGAAAAGAATAACCACTAGAATGATCAGAGGAAGAAAAACCACGTCTTATAAGAGTTAAGAAATCAGCAGGTAAGATTATGAATACATCAGAAGTATCTGTGGAATACACAGCATTTTTCTCTTCACTTTAACCATACTCTAATGTGTTTTAGTTCCTTTCCCAATATGAGAACCTGATGCTTATTTACTCTGCAAAGCAAGCCGTGTTTTCAAAATCTTACTTAGGATGTTCCTTTTTTCCTGCAAATAATCTTGAGCTGCTCTTACTATCTGCTGGACAACTCCTGTGACCAGTAGCTGGACTGAAGGAGGATCCCAGGTCAGGAGGAGTCGGTGAAGCACACTCAAGAGTTCAACACCAAGGAGCTACAGTAAGACAAAATACATATTAAAACAATTAATTAGGACTTAACAATTCCCAATTGTTACATCACTTGCTTATGATGAGCAAATACTTTTCTCATACAAAAATAATTACAGCTTTTGTGATCATCACAGATGAAAGACCAGGACCTAGAAAAAAATGATTGTTACAACATGCTTATACAGTACCTGATCCTCTGCAATATGGATCCTGGCACAAGGAGAATCCAATAAAGTATGAAGTGCTTGTAAACAAGATGTAACATGCTCAACAGGCTCTTCAGGTCGTGGGGAACACAGAAACTGTATGCTAACACCTGAAAAGAGCAATAATTAAAAGGAATGTTTACATCATCATAAAATCGTTTTCTTTTTAAAATTTCTTTAAAAGTATAGCAGGTTCTTAACAACTTCAGAAAGATACATGTTTTTCTCAATTCTTCTTCCTTTGAAGGAAAAGAGTTTATGTATTAGAAATAGCAGAATTGTATTTGCTTTCTCTTCTGCATCATGTCTTCCCAAAATTTGGCAGGAAAAATAATAAACAGTCACAGCAAGCAATTTAGATTACCGAATGGAAATCCATACTTTGTTCTAAAGATCTGTAAGACAGACTTCTGAATCCTTCAGCTGTAAATTGAGTTTTATTTTATTGAACTCTTTTAAATGTAAAGATAACTGAGATGAAGTTAAGCCTCAAAAATTATGCAATATTCATATTATACATATGGCACTTAATTCTGGTTTTAAATATCGGTATCTCAGCAAACTGTTGTCATTCCTCAGAATAAGTGATCATATCCACCTCTTAAAGCTGTTAGATAACAACAAAGGGTAACAGTGAGTGCCACTCATGTGGCTACAGATGAAAAACTGATGCAAAAGCTACTCCATGTGACTTGTCAAATATCAGTCTCTACTGAACTGTGTTTTTATGGGGGGGTGTATTTTCATTAACCTTACAGCTTTTGTGTCTTTGAAGCTTAACATTTTGTATCATCTGAATTATATTACAGCATAGAACAGTTCCTACTCATTTTATTCAATTACATAAATAAACTAAATATACAACTTGTCTATAAAATCACAATAATCACAATGACAAATATTCTGGTAAAGCTATAAAGAACACAGGAGGCAGAGAGATATGGAGAAGAGGAGAGAGAGATATTTTGAAACATTACTGTCCGGACATGTAATTTACATGTCCTAAACTTCCCAGATTTCAAGCAAAGTATCTTTTCTTATTCCCATACCATTTCACACCATAATGTGCTGGTACTGAACTCTAAACTTGTAACTCTTACCCAAAATTAAGTGCATTCGATTTTTGTTTATCTCTGGCAAAGATTTAGTGGTAGGTGGAGTTCCAGGTGTCTGGTTTAAGATAATGGACGTAGCATGTTTCTGTGAATCGGGCATTGCTGCAGCAGTCTCTTCTGTTGACTCTGAAGTGTTAAATCCTGTACTGTTTAGCCAAAGTGCCACTGCATGTAGTATGGGAGCCCAGGAGTTTCGGTAATGCAGTCTAGCTGTATCAATTGTTTCTGGAGTGTAAAATGCTCCCCCTGTTGAAGTAGCAAAGCAAAGGTAAATTCTGAAATTCTCTGCAAATAACAGACAAAAAGCACATGCTCTAAATTTATTAGTTTATTTACTCTGGGTGTATTTGATCATGTACATAGTCAGATGTAATCCTTGTGCATCCCAATTCTCCTTGTGAAGAAGCAACGTTAGTACCTCTCATAAGAAAGTGCAAGGGCCACGATGGAACAGTAAGCAGAGATCAAGAAAGGCAGGCAAAGTCATCAGGTCTTGAAGCATTTTTCATACAGAACACTCATTCTTAACTCAGTAAAATATTGTAAGACAGTATCCACTCTAATCCCAAGGGCTATGTTTTTGTTATAATACACATTCTTTAAATGTTAAATTATAAAATGTTATAATAAACATTTTTTGCATTTGATATCAAAGTATCAGAGATGTAGAAGTATTCTTAGTTCTACAAAGACATGGTTTTAATGACCTCTGTGATTCAGATAAAGAATATCTTAATTACAGATTAAAGGAAAAAAACACACTCAAACTTCAAACATACATTCTTATTACACATAGGCAGAAATTTATCACTTACCTAAAAAACGTGCCTGCCAAATAACTTACAGAATAATTTTAAAGTCTCAACTAAGGGTTTCTTTCTGTTTCTCACAACAAGACAAAAAGAAATTCCAGTGCTTACCATCTGGTGGAAGCTGTGTAGCAAATTCAGCTGGTAAAGTTAAAAGAGCATAATCTTTCAGTGCAGCTAACCAGAGACGGCTAAGTGCAGGCAGCTCAGGTTGTACAAGTGTTATCAAACTGTCTGGTGGCAACTCATCTATAGTACCAAAATCATCCTCATCCTCCTCTGAGCTTTTTAAAACACGCTTTGGTTTGGTCTCTGCTTCTTTCTTAATTTTCATGGCAACAACGTACACCTAGAAGAAAAACAGATATGAAAGTACATGCTGTAAGATCCTAAAGAGAAAAAAAGCAGCAGCCCTTCCCATGTGAAAGTAACAGATTCCATACACAGATGACTTACCGGAAAATGACTGGGAAAAAGAAAATTGCAATACAATTACCTTTTATTTAAAAATATTTTTCTTTTATTTCTACCAGTATATAACACTCAGGGGCATAAATGGCACTTTCCTAAAACAATCTGGCTACACACTTTTTTCCTAAAAAAGTGTCGACTACTGCTGCTCTACACATATTGATTTAAATAACAGATTTCATTAAGTCAATGCATCCTTATTGCAAAGATTTCTTTGACCTACATTAAGAGCTACTAGATAAATTAGAATAACTGTGACTTTCTGGGAACAGATTAGGTATCATCAAGACATGAAAATGGCTTTAAACGTGTTACACAAATACAAGAACATTTTTATGTTTGTCTTTGATAGATGCTATGAAAGGATAGAAGGATTTTCAAAAACTTAGATAAATACGGGAATAAGCAGAAATACCAGAAAAATACAGTATAAATAAGCATTTTTAGAAAAGAAATAGAATAGAAATAAGTGTCTTCACACAACAGATGCTCCATATTAAAGCTGAAAATTACAGTATGGGGTGATTAACATTACACAGCTGAAATGTTAATACTTCCCTTCGTAATTTCAAAAGACTTCCATGAAAATTTAATGAAAAAATCCCAAACCTTAGAAGTACTACACTAAAAGAAACCAAAATACCATTTGTGTAACTATATGTAGAGTTCTATAGCATGCAAGTAGCATTTCAGAAAGCAAGGCAATGTAAGTAGTGCTAACTCTGTCTTTTGGAAATAGTTGAAGATTTCTGGTATTCCAGCCATTCCCCATTAAGCCTGTAATTTATTATGAACACTTTGACAAACTCGTAGTTAATTAACTGCAATATTTTACCAGAATATATTTTAAGGTTGTTTGGGTTTTGGTTTTTTTTTTATGTTTAAGAGCAGTAAGATGGGAGGAAAATCAAAATCTGATAGGGTATGAGTGTAGACTTTAATATAGAAAAGTGCAGTAAAACAAAGATCAGTCAAGCATCACTGTAAATACGGATCAACAGAATGACAGAAAAAGGAAAAGAGAAAGATATAGAGATGAAAACACCTCAGGAGTGGAACTGCAACAGGTAAGGAGGAGGGCAGGTGCAAGGCTCACTGGCTGAACAGCCAGTGAGATGTAAGGCTGCTGTTATGCTGCAAAATCTTTTCAAACTTTTAAAGATTTAATGGTCAATGTTTACCTCAGCCCAGGCTTTCAGAACTGCAAGTTTTTCCATAGTAGTCGCACTCTCTCGGTAAAGCTGGCTAGAAGATCCCTTTCCCGCTTGCACTTTATCCAGGGAAGAGACAAGAAGGTTGTGAACTCGGCGGAGGTCATTCAGGTCACTTACAACCCCACTTCCTATCCAAGTGCTACATACCTAGACAACACAGGTTAGAATCATTCTAAACTAGCAAAAAAAACAACAACCTTCTAAACAAACAAACAAAAAAAATCTGTAAAAAAAACAAAACCCAAAACCACCACCACAAAAAACATTAGCAGCTCTCCTCCTGCTTAATATAAAAAAATCCAAGGTTTTCCTTTTTTCTCCCCACCCATGATAACAGAATTGCTCAGGTGAGTGGTTACAAAGGCTGTACTTGCAAAGCATACTACAATGGAACTTAATAGATACATGGAAAATAGTTTTTTAATCCTCCATAAATAGGTAATAACCATTTTTGTATTCTGTTCCCAAGTGTCTGGTCAAATCGTTCAAGTAATGGGTCATTGTATTCACTGTGAAGAATATATTGGACAGCAATCAATAAAAGTACATCTTTAAAAATCCGCACCTTTCAAATTATATATTAAGCCTCCATACTAATGAGAAGCTTTCAAGATCATTAATGTCAAGAAAATATCAAGAAATGACCAAGATAAATACCTTTTAACAACTGGGCTCTGATTTGGAACCAACATTCTTAACAATCAATACCAGACATAGTGGACAGACAGTTGAGTGCCTCCCCACTTTTCTTTTCTGTTGAATTAAACGGACCTAAACAGGTACTTAGAATCCAAACATCATACAGATCAGCTGCTCTTGTCTAGTGCTATAAAACACATTCACGCGCAGACATAACGCAGACAATAGAAGAATTCTGGTGCAGCTACTTTTCTACCAAAAAAAAAAAAAAAAAAAAAAGGACAAATTTTTCCAGAAGAGCTGCCTTGATTCTGGTGGTGATTCTACAAGGATGAGGAACATAAGCAAAAAAACCCGCAGAACTCAAGTGGTTCAGATTTTACAAATTCTTTTTTCATGGCATTTTTGTCCTATCTCCAATTTATTTATTTCGCTTTTAGAGAACCAGTTCCATGAAAGCCTTTGGGGAAGGGCCTCTCATGATCTGGAATGATGGACATATTTGAAGTAAACACAAACACAAAAAGTGTCCTGAAGGTGCACAGGACAAGGCTGCTGAAAATCTGTCACAAATCCGTAATTCATTCACAGTAGGACTACGACCAGCTTCACTCCTGCTGCTGGGAAAGTCAACAGCTGTTTCAGTAATGACATAAAACTATAACAACATCAAACTCATTCAGCGCAGCTCATCTCTGTCCATGTAACTTCTCGTGAGCAAGTTAAATATCCAAACCTAACCTCCAACCATTTGATCCTGTAAGTGCACACATCCACTTTGAAACTGATTGACTAGAGAAAATTTTGACAAGTTACAAAGAATGTTACATGTTTTCACACAAACTGCCTCTTCATCTAGCTTTAAACACACAGAAACTTTCCATAAGGTAAGATGAGCATATACTTCCCTACGTATAGATACCAAATTATGCCATATTTGATCTATCCTTAGAAGTTTTGCTGGAAATTAAGAGTATAAAACAACAACACAAAAATCACAGTCCTGCTGGACCAAGATTTACGAAACAAAACTCATATACACAAAATTATCATATTAAAACTGATGTTTGCATAGCTAATTAAACTGCTGCTTTAAACTACAGTAGTAATTTAGCTGTGTAAACCACATACCAGATACTACTACAGCCATGTTGCTGATAGATGATTTAAACTACAGTAGCACAAGATCATACACAAGAAAAAACACACACAAAAAAAATCTTTCACTAAATTTTCACTGAGAAGTTGTTACTATGACTGTAATGAGAACGCTCAGAGCTTCTAAAATCTAAAACAGTGTATTAGTCTGAATGGAAGATTAGTGTTTAAAGGTAAATTACCAGTAATCCCAAATATTTGATCGGACTGAAAGGCAACTCAATAAATATGTTACTATTGGTCTCATTAAGCAAGGGGTTTTTTCCTCTTTTTTTTGTTTGGTTTTTTGTTGTTGTTGTTAGGTTTTGGGGTTTTTTTTTTTCCTTTTAGCAACAAATGCAGAATTGACATGGAGACATAATTAGTTTCAGAAGACTAAATATTTTCTGATGTAGCTCCCAAAAAGGACTTTTGCACTTCTGAGGAACAAAATATATTGCTAGGAGACTCAAAAGGTGTTGCAAAAACATCACGACTTAGGATTACAAAATTTTCCAGCCATTTGCTAGTACTTCTCTTCTGCATCCTTCTTTCAAAAAGAAGGAAAACCAGTTTGGCTTATATTATCTGCACATTTTCCTCTGTACCTGGCAGGCCTTTGCAGTTATATCGGACGGTGTATCTTGGGAAAAAGCTGGCCTCAGGGCAGCTCCAACCTGTTGATGGGAAGAAAAATTTAAAAATCCAATTAAAACAATAGTGATACAACATTCTTCATCTCACCTTGTTTAAGGCTCAAGCACATATACAGAACAAGCAAGACAAGATTGCCAATTTTGGCTTTACAGTTACATCCCAAACTTATCCTTGTTGTCTAGCAGACATATGCAATAGTATTCTTTAAACAACAACAAAGAAGTCCTAAACTAGTTTTTTTCCTGCTTGCCCACTGCCTTTTTAAGCCTCAACTACCTTTGTCAAATATGTGGTATTATCTTTCTTCTGTTAATGAGTACCCTTTTAATCATGAAAGTATTACAGGTGCAATTTATGCTAAGGCTCAAGAAGCCAATGACTTTTTGATGTCCAAAGGAATAATGATGTGAAATCAAATGTTCATGGTTGGATTTGCATCAAGTTCCCAAAATGACAAATTCTGACAAAAAAGCCTTTTAGGCAGTTGTTATAAGGCAGCATTTTTCAGAAACAAAAGGAACCAAGTCAAAGAGACAGAAACAATGGTTACAGCACTACAGAAGGAAGAAGAAAAAGGCAGGAAGTGAAAAGGATGAAAGCCTGCCTTTAAAAACTATTTGCAAAGATCCTGAAGACACAGTGAAGACGAAAGAGATGAAAGAGTTAAGCTATGCAACAAAATAAAGCAATAACACCCCAAAATAAATCTTCAACTCCCACCTCCCATTCCTACACTTTTGCAGGTTTCATGTAAACAAAAGTATATTCATTAATTCCCAAGAAAACAGATTTATTAGATTCAATTTGGAACTGAATCAGCGTTATTTTCCAATTCCTAATTCTGCAAATGAAATGCCACTCTTGCCAAAAATTAAATGTAACTTGTATTATTTAGCTTTCAAGAATCAATAGCTACTGAATTTTTAAATTTCGTCAGCTACTAGATTATAATAAATAGGAAGAGATACAAAAACAAAAAGTCTCTTCAGTACATTTTCACACACAAAAATCTCTTCACAGGTCTTTTGAAGTTACAGAATGTTCTCAAAGCTAATTCTGGCATATTGGCATAAATATACAATTTCCTGAACTTATAAAGGAGGTCTCACATTAGCCTGATACTGCTCCAGTATCACATGGCCTGGAAACTCTGGCTCAGGAACCGATGCAAATTTCTTGATAATGTCTTCAAGAGCTTGAAGACCCGCCATTCGTAACTGGTTGCTGTGATCAGTCGCAGCCATGAATGCCATTCGAATAAGGTCAGAGAGATGGAGTACTAAGAAGTCATCTTAGAACAAAACAGAAAGAACTATTTAGTAACTTAAAAAAGATAGCTAACATGACAGATTTGTAATATTTTCCTCACTGACATGTACAAATTTTACCTATACTTTTTCGAAGATCCACATTTAGGGTATGGAAGAAGGCAGGAAAGAATGTAATCTATTTTTCTTTCTCCCCTCCTCCACCCCCCCAAACGATACAAGGGCTTTTATTCCTAAGACAATTTTAAAAATTCAGCACAAATTTGAAACAAAATGAAATATATGATATACAGAAATTACATTGAATAGAGTATCTAAATGTGGCTGAGCAGCTTAGAAGAGATTAGAACATATAGCAAAACTAATTTTAGTGATCCCCCCCCAAACCTACAAAAAGATCAAGACAATTCCTGTTCAAGTCCTATGCTTATAGTGACCCCTGCTGATAAAGGAAAACCTCGTCACATTTAAACACCTAAAAACTAAGTATGCCTCTAGTTCTGCTCCCAAAAGCCACATCAAAGGCTGTAAGTAAGCAGCAGACAACATGCAGAAAAGAACAATACATAACTCAGTAATGTTTCCGAAAGGATTATTCTTCTCTTTTTATTCACTTTATTTCTTTCCTTACTTGCAATTTGAAATTACCAGATGTTGTACAACCAATACGAAAATAAGTTATTTAAAAATGTAATATCCAGAGTGACTAACAAAAACCACAAATTATGAAAGCTCTACATATTTTCAAGTCTCAAGGTAAAAAAGAAAAGTTTATTTTGTAGCTGAAACTTTTCAGAGGCATGTCAGTAAAGAAAGACTGGAGATCACTTAAAAACTACGAAGTGGTAAAGTCTGGACTTACTTTTTAAGACCATCACAGATGCTAGTAAAATTTAAATATTTTGGAAGTTGAAGTTGGGGAGGTAGAATTTTGCTGAGTTTTCCTTTTTACAATGATACCAAACACATCAAATTCACTTTAAATAAATTCAGAGAGATAAATTCTCAGGATTATTATATGCAATCTCCTGCAGGATCCTATAAGCAGCAGTTATTTCATTATTTTCTCTATAGTACAACACCATCTCAAAATAAACTTTCCCAAAACTCTTCCCTCTTAGTCTTCAAACAGTGACCTCAGCCTCAAATCAAGTCAGAAACAAGATTCTCACAAAACCAATGCATCAACCAATGCATCTCACAAAACCAGTGCCAAAACCAGATTGCATCAAAGCAACACAAAGACTTGATAAATCTCCATACCATAACAGACACCCTCAACAATATAGACACTAAAATCCATTAATCCCATGCATTCTAGGATGCTCATGATATTCATCCTCCAAAGTCCTCATGAGCACTACATGGGTGAAAGCAAACAATCACTATGCACCAGAACCAATACAAATGGATAACTCAAGGACAGAAACCTCCCACCATCTGGTAGAAAAAACGTTTCTTCACAAAACGGTCATCTCTGACCTCTCAATTTTGATCCTCTAACTCATAAGAGTATCTTCAAAACAAGAGCTTTAAAACTAATATTCATCACTCTCATGGATATCAAAAGAACGAACTTTATAAAGCAGCTGGGTCCATGTCTTATGATAGCTCCCTCCCACATCCCTCACTTCGCAATCAATGCCACAACAATAATTACCTGGCCTTACTTCTTTTTTCTTTCCCTTCAGTCTGGAGATGCTAAAAGAATTTCTGAAGTCTAATTCATTGCTGTCATTATCTAAAACTCAGAGAAACTATTCCCAGCTCACCCTTAGCTATAAGTTTACTGCTTCTATTTCAGGCTGGAGAAAAGGTCTGCAAATCTAAGAGTATTTTTTTCCAATTAGATCAGTCTGTCAGAACTTATATCCTCCAACAAATCTCATTTCTTTGTGTTCACGGTACAGTAACTACAATGGTTATACAACTACAGTTTTATTGCCTTTTGCTGGCCATTTCCTTTGTTTTTAACCAGTTGAATGAAAGGATAACTGTTTATATCTTTTTCTTGTTTGTGTAATCTTAGCTGTAAAGAGGTGTCAAAAATTAAAAAAAAAAACAACCAAAAAAACCAAAAAACTAAAACAAAACATGCACATTCTGTAATTACTTTTTGGGTTTTTAAGTCTGGCTGAACGAGCCAGTGCCAGATCAAAGTGTGCCTTGTTCGCATTCTCACACAGCATGATAACTCGGCATAGACAGTCTGCTGCAAACACACGAGTTGCCCAACGAGGTGCTACAGAAGGCTTGGATTTATCCTCTTCACCCAAGGTGGTAAACATTGTATCATCGTCCATCTCATCCTTCTTCTCTGATTCCTCATCCTTCCCTCCTCCCAAGGGAGCAGCAGTGCTCATGTCTACAACATTAACAATTAAAACAATTAGAACAATTAAAAAAAAAAATCCCACTGTTACAATCCGCAGAAGACAGCTAAGGATATAAGCCTTTCCTCACACTCAGATTCAAAACAGACTAATAATTCTGTTGAAACAACAACATTTGAAAAATGTAGAAAGACATAGGAATATCAATAGAAGAAATGTTTTCCACCTCTAATCTAGGCTATGTTACCCTTTATTTGGCTTAAATTATATGAAATGAATTCCTGTAATGTTAATTCTCCACAGTTACTACTATAGCTGAATCCCGTATCTAAACTGCTCACCTTTGAAAATTAACCTATTAAATTGCCAGTAAACAGGGTAAGGAGGTTACCAGGCTCAGAATCAAAGAATCAGCTTGGCTTTGAACTATTCAGCTCGTTTCAAGTAACAGCTAGAGTGCATGTTAAACTGAAACAAAACTAGAGTTCCATGCCATGGGACAGATATGCAGCCAAGTAGGCAGTTCATGGCATCCACAAATGTGCTTAACATTCAAAAAATTCTTTTCTCTAAGTGTGGCTGTAAGACTTCATTTCAGAAAATAAAAATACTTCAGGGATCACATTAAAAAAAACAAATCCAAACAGGGACAAAAACCAACTCACTAAACATACACTTCTGCTATTCAGAAATGAGAACATAAAATCTCAATGGCAAGGTCTAAATTAGCGAAATGCCAGATACTGACAAAAATTACTCTGGCAATAATTACAGAAGAACAAGAAGAAATTATTGCAAGGGTAACCCACTCCAACTAAGGCATGCTTCTTAGAAAGTCTAAATTTAAGCAGCTGAAGAGCCAAGACATTCAATAAAGAGAGAAAGACTATGGCAAATCAAACACAGATGAAGCCAATTCACAAGAAGAGTGTTTTGAGAAGGCATCCAGGACCTTATGCGGCTGATTTATAAGTCTCTGCTTAAAAAGCAAACCAGATTTTATTCATATACCAGTTAGCTGGATCAAAGGAGTTCAAAATGAAGTTGCTGGCTTATTAAGTACAGCTGAGAGAAATTTATTTGAATATCTCTCAGAAATTATCTCACCTACTAATAAATAAATAAGAGATTGGACAACCATGTTAAAAACTTTAAACCCCATCCCACATGAAATAAGAAAAGGACATGCCAACTTCAAACTCAGGAAACAAGGTCTTTCTCACTGGGCAGATATATGGTAACTATATCGCATAAAGAAATCATCGGTAGCATTACTCATCAGGAAATGCAAAGCTGGCAACATTTAGAAAGAGCTTCAGGATGAACTCACAGTATACCATAAACATATATAAATGCAAGAGAAATGAGCAGCACCTGTGTCACAACCATCCTACAAGCTGAAAAACAGGAACAAGGTCTCAGAGGACAAGATCTTTGCAAACAAGTCTGCAAAGCTGAACAACAAGCAAAAGTTTCATCACCACGGTAACCCATCACATCAGTAACTCACAAAACCTCAAAAAAGAAAGCTCAGAGTGTGTACAGCACTCTTCCTTCTGTATGGTCCTGATGTATAAAGGCTAAAAAGAATATGTCTGCTTTCACTAAGATACTGAAATGTCGGAGTAATAATCACACTGCTTCTCTGCTGGAAATCCTACTTTAAGGCAGCTAACTTTTTAAGATTAAAAGCCGTATTTTAAAACTTAACATAACATTGATGATTTCTTTTTTCTAAGCAAGTTTTAATGCACTATAATCAAAGTTCTATATACATTATAAGCTATGTCTTAACTAGGATAAAAGACAAGCTCCAAACACATATTGCCAGAAGATGCCAATACCAAGGACATACTGTCATTTATGTGAACATTATAGAACACTTACCACTGGAAGCTGCAAGGACATCCTTACAAAGCATTAGCCAGTGAGAAAGGTTTTCTACTGCCAGTGATGAAAGCATATGTCCCAGAGTATCATGGATATCTGAGCACAACTTCCGATCAGTCTCCCGATCCAACATTCCAAAAAGGACACCTTCGAGGCCTGTCTCTGTTATATTAACCCCCTGATGCCGGGAATGAGCATCTCGCCGAGAACCAGCTCCTGGTGCAAAAGGATTCATATCTGCAAAATGATAATGAGAAATCTTTTCTGAAATCAGTAACTCAGTTTTAAAATTTGGAATAACAGACTAGAATTGGACATTGCGTATTTGTGTGTGTATAGTTCAGGCAATGATACACCAAAATATTACTGAATTTCTTCTGAATTAACACTAGAAAGATTTTAATACAGCAATTCATTTAATATATTTTCTGCAAGGCAAATAACACCTCATAGTATTACTTCAAAAAAAAAAAAAAAGTACACACCCCATGAATTTGTAAAAACCCCTATTAGTACTGGACTCTCAAGAATCTTTCCAGAGACAGACTTAACTGCTGTGATTTAATACAAGTAAGCTCACGATTTTATGTTCGTATGAAGACTGTGCGGATCAACACTGTTGAGCCTCCTATTTTCAGAATAAAATGATACGTGTAAGAATTGAGCCAGCCAGCAAAGTCCACAGGCTAGCAGACGTGCTGCTAACAGAATACAACAAAATCAGATATCTCAATCAAACAGCATACAATTAAGTCAATTTTCAAAAGAGCAAGATCTAAAATACCAGAAAAACTGTAAAATGTTTCCACTGTGTATACACTGTGTTCCCTACTTCTCTGCCGCTCTTAATGGGGCAGAGAAGTTTAAGTCATAATTTAACTTCTTGTAAAGTTCAAAGTGAAATTCAAGAGGTAAGCAGGGGTGTGGCCAGAAGTTACTGCAGCTGGAAGGGACGGTTTTAGTTTTTTTGGGTTTTTTTGGGGGGGTGGGGAGTGGGAGCGTGTGGGGGTTTTTTCCCCTCTCTGACGGCAAACCACATATGCCCACATATGTGCACTCAACTGTTACAAAAATGCCACATGAAAAAAATACGTACTGATGCCACTGTTTTCTTTGTCTCCAGCATTTTTTGCTAAGCTCATGGCATATTCACATACTTCTGCTGCTTCCCTCTGAGCAAGCTGTCGTAAACATGCAACTGCAGCCCGGCGAAGCAGCAAGTGGGAGCTGCACAGATGAACCTAAAATCAGAACCATTACAGGTGAGTGAACTGCTGCACGCCCATATCAATAAATCAGTGCTGCTAAGGACTAACAGCGTTCTACTTTTCAATTATATGCCCATGTGTGAGCTGTTGGGTACCAAGCTTTTTACAAGACCTTGAGAATTCAGAAGTCTGCACTTTCTATAATGTACAAATGTGAAAATAAAGCTGACATATACAGAGCTGACAGTTGTTATCTGGTTAAACAGATAAGAGCTTAAATATTGGAACTACTGTGCGAGTGTGATTTTAGACTGATTATACTTTCCAATCTGTTACACTCTCCAGTACTACTCAACCTCATATTCTGCTATAGCTGTAGATCACATTCTTTTAAACAGAAAGCCATCATCAGCTGCACCACCCATGGCAGCTATCATAAAAACTTTTATTGCAAACTTGTAACAGAATTTATAGCATAAGTTTTTATAAATACCTCCCAATAAGACAGCTTCAGATTTCTTCGCTAACCAACACTGGCTTCTAATTCCTTTTGAATCACCTCAAGTACAAGCAAATATTTTTCTTATAGAAGAATTGTGCATGGTCCCTGTTTTCCTGAGAGGAAGTAGCTGCACAGAGAACTGTATGTTTTTCTACAGTGGAAGAGATGAAGAGTGCTCTTTAAGAAACTCTGATTCTTTACTTACCCTGGGGAATTGGTTTTTAATAAACCAAATACACATTTGCTTTCTCAGTATTAGGTTATTATGTGGATAGAAATTGCTTTCCTAAATGAAAGGGTTGTATAGTTTATAAAGCATTTTAACAGTAGATCTTTATTCCACATATGAATATACAAGATTTTAGTCCTGAAAAAACAAGCAGACTTTAAAGAACCTCTAAATATCACACTGAGGTTTTAATGGAACTAAAACACAGAACATTTGGGGGATTTAATTAATGGAAAGAGTATTCGCCGTTTTAAGTTACAAAACAAACAACTAGTGGTTATGAAGCCAATGCAGGAAGAAGAAATGAAACTACAGTGCGGAACTGTGTGGTTTAATTTTGATACCTGGCAGTAATTCCATTCAGAAGTGAGTTAGAAAGCAATGAAGAGTTTGCTAATGGGGTAGGTAAGGCAGTCGTTGCCTACATACCTATGTATTTGCAGTATAAAGAAATGCGTAAGGCAATTCAGAGGAAAACTTGTCAAACTAAGCATGACTTGGAAGTAAGGAATATGAGAAAAGAGAAGGAAAATAGCTTTCTTTAGCAGAGGACCATAAACGAACAGGAAAGAGATAGCCGAAAACCTTGGAAAAAGTTTTCAAAACCGTCATTCCTATATGAACTTCACTGTCTGTAATACTACCCACTAGTACTTACTAGAGTAAGTACTCTACTTTACTAGAGTAAATGGCTGTAGAGATTGTTTGTCATGTTGTACATAGTATTCATACAAAAGAGCCTACCTCCTTTTAGGTACGTTGCACCTCTTTCATGCAAAATTTTGTGGAAGGACAAATGACAGATTCTGGAACATACTGCACTCCTAGGAGTGCTCCAGAGTGCAGGGGGGAAGCAAGGGTGAGTGTGGGGGTGGGGAAGCATGTAACAATGAGAGGATGCACCAGGGAAAGTCTGGATGGCAAACTAAGAAAAAGTTCCAATGTTGACGTAAGTAGGATCACACTCCTTCAGGTAACACAGAAGCACCAGTTCCACAAAGAATGACATAATGAACTTTGCAAAACGCCCAACAGACATTAGGGAGAAGCTTTTCAAATTGGACTGCTAACCCTCTAAAAAATAATTTTAGAAATAGTAGTAATAAAAAAACCCAAACCCCACACCAAAACACACACCCACACACACCACCTTTCCTCTTATAGTTGTATTTGGTATGTTTTGGGCTCCAGCCTCTGCCTCACTTTTAGGCTTAAGCCAGGTTTTGCTTACAGAACACTAACAGAGGGAGAAAGCAACGCTGACAACAGCAGCACAAGAATTGTCAAAATGTCAGGATCTACTATGCTGACAGTGGTGAAATAAATCCAAAATCTCCTACCTTTCCCCAACTCATTCACTTTCCTCTATGCATGCAATCAGTTGAAGGAAACAAAGCATTTCAGGATCTTTTTACTCAGTCATATTATATATAAATGCTTGCTATCTGTACTATCTAGGGTGAAAGAGAATCAGACCCTATGACTTTAATGTGGGCAGCATTCTGAAAAGATCTAAAATGGCTTGGGGACAGACATCTTTTTATTTGCACTCCAGTGTTTTTGCAAATGTGGCTTGCTTATTACATATTGGTATCCTTGACATCTTGCAAAGTGCTTCTCCTGTCCCCTGCTAAGCACATCCATAAGACTTTGAGGAACAAAAGGGATGCATTCTGTACTCACACAAAGACTGGGAACCAGACTGGACAGGTTGACATGCCGTGGTGCAAACATATGAAGCTGCTGAAGGCAGGATATGGCAGCTGCCTGAACGAGCGAGTCTGAATGGTCTTGTGTGATTGCACATCCCACCAAACAGGAAGAACGGATTGTTGAAATTGTAGCTCCGTTACCTAATGATGTAATGCGATATCCTTAACACAGCAAAATTTTGTATGACAACTGTAGACTTTAAACCTTTGAGAAACAAGAATTTTTAATGCTTCAAAGTTCACAGATTAACATACAACTTTTCTGAATTCCTACTGCAAATTCATATTTACACAACTTCAAAGAAACACTACAGAGTATTTCAACATCTCTTTTTTAGCTCAGTTAAACAATGCCCTGTCCAAATTAAATTTTGGATCAATGATCTTCAGTCAGAAATATTTTGAGAATATCCTCCCAGGACATGAAACCAGTAAAATCTGAATTTAAATTTTGAAAGTCTTTTTCATTCTATACATATGGGCAACATTTCATGCACTGAACCATTTCCTAAAATATAAGGTAATACTAAAGCTAGCAAGTATGCAAGTGATTTTAGTTAGCTCCATTAGACGAATTGCGCTGCTCTAATAGGATAAGCATTCAAAAGAACAGTAATTTGAAAAATAATCCCATTCTGTATTTTAAGAATTAACCTGCATCAGGTTTATAAAAAAATCTTGAACTACAGAAAAATGTAACCTGCAGAAGACATTCTACAGAAGTTGTTGTTTATTTAAAAAGTTAATGACGCTCCAGATCAAAAGGTTAACACACAGCAAGCAGATACACAAGTTCAATTAAACAATCTAGAAATTTTTCATAACTAGAAATTTAAGTCCAGTTACTTCGAGTTAAAATTTCACTAGTGGCTCGTGCTCTGGCACCGCATCAAAAGACCGTCCTAGAGATATTCCTAAAAATCCCAGTTAAACAAAATTACAAATCTGTGTTTTTGTCATCCGAGACACAGAATTTCAGATATAGTGTTTGGCATGACAAGATCTTATTCTCTACAGTAAGGTACAGTGATCTAAGAATATCAAGAATGAGTGGAAATGAGTTATAGTTCACGATACTATCAATTATGTTAAACTTAAGCTCTTGCCATCAGTTAAAAATAAAATCAACACGTGTTGAAAAAGCAGAGGAAAAAAATCTTGCCTCTTGCCGCACCTATACACAAACATATATGCAGCAAAATATGCAGCGAGGGTGTTTTTTCATCTTTTACCTACCACGCAAATTTGCCATTAGCCAGAACACCATACATCACTGCAACTTCTTTATACAAATCTCAAACTGCAGTCAAAAAAGCCCCAGTCATAATTGGGATTGGAAGTGAGGTTGCTTGCAGGACAGTAACTGAATTTGTCAATGTCCCCCCCCGCCTGCAACTGCAACAAACAAAAATTTATTTTCTTCCATTTACGATTGCAATATATTATCTTTATGCACGTTAGATTTTTTGTTTTCTCTTCAAATTCCCACTAACCTTGCAGCTCAGGCCCAACAGTAGTTATTATAGCTCCAAGACATCGGCCTAAGCATTGATGTACTTCCGTATGCGATGGTGGAACAGTTAAGAGCAGAGTAAGAACTAGAGAAAGCGTTGGCTCCACATATCCACGGTACATTGGTCCACTAGAATCTACTATCAAGGCGAGTGAATGAAGAGACCAGGTCTATCAAAAAAACAAAGGAATATTTTTCAGTAACACACTTTAAATTTAAACAATTTTGTATGTAGACTGAGCCTAGCTCTGTACATCCTTGCTTAAACATGTCTAGTTAGCTACTCTGCCTCCAGAAGTGTTTCAAAGGTCTCAGAATCTCAAGCAATCACCTGGGAGTTTAAATATCTCTAGCATACTCTTTGCTTATCAGCAGTTTTGGGAATAATGGAGATGAAGATGACAAAGGATTTGAGCAAAAAATGGTTAAGTACTTTGAGGAAGAAAAATACAACCCACCAACCCGCTTAAAAACAAAAAAGGAAAAAAGAAGAGTGACTCTTAAGATAGGAGAATCATTCCGCTGTAAAACTGGATGTAGAGTCTGAAATGGGCAGTTGACAAAGTCCTTAGTAGGGAGTGCCTTTGACATTCCAGTAAAAACTGATTTTCATGACAAGTTGAAAGGTTTACATGCATTTTCTAATTAATTTTCTTATTAGAGGGTGCAAGAGAAGAAAGCAGTGCTGTTCACAGTCAGTGTACTACAAGATGAGGGAAAAAAAATGGTGGAAGATCAATGTATTTCAGTTGCAAGATAAGTAAATAACAAAAGAGCAAAATAATTTATTATAATTGTCAAAGCCAGAAGTGGGCAAGGGAGCAGTCTTTTTGGTCACTGATGTTTCATAGGAAATAAATTCCCCTGACAGATCTGAAAGCATAGCTATCTCTCCATAATATCCTAATAAATGATCTTATTTCAGAATTTTCTTCCATTAAATATGTGATGCAATTGCACTGAAAAGACTAAGTTAAAAGAATATTATGGTTACAAAGCTAGACTCTTAGGAATGAGATGGAAAACCTGCCTTTAAAACTGCTCCTTTTTAATCCTCTCTGATGCAACCCAAAAACCATTAGCACTAGCAATCACGTAACTACGTAACTACTACTACTACAGTCCTAACCACATGGTAGCACATTACAGCTTATCCTTTCATTCCGGCAAATTTCCATTACTCGTATTCCCATACAGTTTCTGTGTATCCACACTCTCTCTTCTTTTTACAGCAGCAGCCACAAACAGATGCTTAAGGGAGAGTAAAGACAGACCAAGACACCAACCCCTCAAATTTCTCCTGCGAGAGTAAAGACAGAGTATTCTCCTAATTTTCAAGTATTTTCAACTTAGGAAACTTTCCAAACTGCACAGTATTTATATATATTCAGCAACTCCAAAGGCATTGCTCTTCCAGCAGCATGTTTAGTTCCCTTTTTACGCTACCAGCAACTTCTAGCAGTCAAGTTGTCCTCTTGTGAGAGGACTATAGACTCCACATGTCTACAGTCCATAGTGGATAGAAACCCCTCCCCGCCTTTGCCTTGTCTTGGACTTGTCTTGGCTCCTATTAGCTCCCCTTCTGTCCCCTAACTGCAGTTTAACTTGCAACAGATTTTTGTTGTCGTAACAGCCCAAAAATGATATACTGCCATACTGTGTTCACAGTATCACATATATGGAAATTACTTGGCAAAGAAAACCATGCTCGTCACCTGAGACTCCAGTAACTGATCACATGTTAACCATTAGCCACTTATTAAAAACTTTAGTTTAGGCAGCTAAGATAGAACTAACACATTTTGCTTTACAATTACAGTCAGTTAGGAATATGCCCACAGTGAATTACTGTGGCTCAGCTGACAAGCAGACACTTGTCAGTCTGAATTAACTTGACCACTTGCAACTGCCTCACTAACTCACAGTAAGGTTACATTTTAATTGCAGTACATATTTGGGATTCTGTACTGTAAGAGTTTATAAGGAAAGTACCACTCTCTTCACGCTCCCTGGCACATGCTACATCCATATGATTTGGCTTACATGTGACAATCTCTATTAAAGAACATCTGAACAGGTAATTTAATTTTTAATTTTAATCCTGAACATTTTTAAGTAGTTTTGTGGTGATTGTGTTTTTTACCTGGACTTCAGGAGAGGTTCCATCTTGTGCCAAAGCCAAAAGAATACTGACACTAGTTTTCAGATGCTGTCCAGAACCTATTCCACCAACATACCGATGGAGACAGCCCAGAGCCAAAGAATGGCCCGTTCTTGATACAACATCTCGAGCAGATTTTAACCTATCAATGTTTAAATAAAAGGAAATTATGTCATTACAAAGAACCCTTCATGTACCATAACAGTGCAAATGACTAGCAGAATTTTGCAGGCAACCTCACAAGATCTTGAGAAGCCTTAACAACAAAAGCAAAACCAATGTACTTAATCTATATTGCTATTAAACTGGATTACATATAAGACAAGTGACAAAAAAAAAGATATTTTAAGAGTTATTTTCTTTCTTCCTGGTCAGAACTTGACATTTTAGATGAAGAAGAGTTTTGGAAGTGAAAGAATATAGGAAAAGCATCTAGTGTTTACCAATGTTTCACAGCAGACTAATTTAATAAGCAGAAAAGTCATTGCTAGACCACTGCAGTAAAAAGGAATCAAGAATAGAAAAATGACAACACATATTGAGAAATGACAAAGAAATCCACAACTACGTCTTCCACTGCAAAGTTAACTGAATAACTTTTTAATACAGCTGTTTTCTTCTACAGCTGAGTTCTATGACTTTTCCAATAAAGGTGGTGTTTTTTTTTTAATAGTGTTTTATTATGAAACTATACAGAATCAACAGCATTCTGAATGACCTAGTTGTATGAAGCAGTGACTTGTTGAGTATTTTCCACAATACTTCTGCTTCTGAATGCATGTCACATACATAACACTAATTAAAACCTTTTCAGGGGGTGGGGAAGAGAAAGAAAAGAAGAGTATCCTAATTAGAACAAAGAAAGACTTTTTTTTTTTCCCCTGGTTGACTGTATATGAGAGGCAAGCATGCTCTTAGCCATGAACAACAGAGTAAATGCAGATCTCAAATATAAAAAAATTACTTGACAGTGTCAACAGACTGGCAACCATTGACAACTTGAGTCCTAGGAAAGAAACGAAGGAAATAGTCCCAGTAATAGAAATTCAAGGAAAGACAGTAAAGATGATGTACTTTATTACAAGATGAAATGATGGGAAAAATTGAGTTACCAGAGGTAGGAGAGCTGGACTGAGGCTATGTGCATGCAGCCTGGCCAGCCAAAAACATGGGCTGCAGCCCTGAGGCAGGTGCATTCTGATTCACAGATAGGCTGATGTCTTAAAATTAAGCAAAAAATTGGGAAACATGTTGTCTTGTTATATCTACCAAACATCCTTCTAAAGACCTGAGATTAACAACAGAATATGGAAAAAAATTATGGGCCAGTAGATAAGCCAAATCAATATGTAAAGAGGATGTTTTGATGAAACAGAACCACTATCACACAATTCATACTACAGACATACTTGGTGTAAGCTGCATTTATCTATCTGAAGCAGTTTAGTCACCTTCAAGTAACTCATCAAAAACTATTCATTGGTATCATTTCACATTCCAAGTACTTCCAACAACTCAGCTTTTATTCCTGTAAGAATCACATCAAATAAATCAAAAAGAGAAGACTCTGTTTGAAAGTTTGTTAGATCTACATAATCATAGCAATCATGCACGAAGAGAAGAGAATAATCAATATGGTATTTCATAGAGGAACCTTCCAAACCACATTAAATTATACTTTTATTTCCTTTTCTGAATCAAAACCAACTTACTTATCAAAACTGTATTGAGCCATTCTAGCAATGAAAGATGCTTCTCCAACCACTTGAGCCATTCTGCCAAGAGCTTCACCTGCTGCACATCTCAAAATAGGGTTAGGATTATCAAGGGCACCCATCACCAGCGTCAGAGCAGATTTGCGGACTTCTTCTGGTCCTAACGTGCTTTTATTCTCAGCTAAACCCTACATGAAAAAATATGAAAAAAAAAAAGAAAACAAAATTCCAAAGCAGGGGAGAAAGGGAAGATATAAAAGCAATTTTACTATATTTGAGATCTTCAATTAAAAATTATGCACTTTTACTTTTGTTTAAATTTGTGGTCATTTATCCTAAAATACACTGGTTGAAAATATTTAAAACTCAAAATCAACAACATACTCAATCTTATGTTTGCCAACACTCTACCTATTTCACATACAGGAAGACCTGTTGCACCGGCACTTACAGTGCTACATGCACGCTAGTGCTACTGCATCTGAGCTAGCTTTACACAGGATACCCCAGCAAAAAGAGAGAAGCTTTAAAATCTAACAGCAACATCTCTTTCTGTCAGAAAGGAAAACCACAGCTCAGTTATGTTTCTGCAAGAATCACTTAAATTAAAGACATTTTAGGTACATGAAAATATTTTTTTCTTAATAATCACATCTTTGCAAACATTTATACAGCCTGTTATACGAACATTCTACAGAACAATAACACTAAACACTGCTTCTGCAGCTTCTTTGGTTCCCATATTTCATTAATAGTATGTCACCTTTCACTACAACTTTCAAGAATTGTTTTACTTTGGGAAAAAAAATTAAACACGTGTAAAGTACAAACATTGCATGTATTATAGAGGAAGAAGTTGATGGCCCTACCACAGATTCTCATTTTCAGTTCTGAAATCCTCATTTCAGCTCAATTTTGACAATTCTTTGGCCATTTGGCATGGCATGGAAAATTCCAGCCATCTGTCTCAGAATCTACTTTTCAACTTATAGCAACATGGTTCATATTTCTAAGAACAAAGCAAGGAAGAGAGGTTCTGTTTTGCCAATTTATTTTGTCCACCAACCAAGGACATGGAGCCCCGGTAACAATCAGCTTAAACTACGCAGCCATTTTTTGTATGGCAAAAGTCAGACAAGAAGAAACTCATCCAATCTTTAATTACAGGCTGGCACTTCTATGAGGGTAGCTTCCTCAGTGCACAGGACTTAGCTGTTCTGAAGATGAACAACGATGACAATGACAGACGTTGTCCGACAGACTCATGAACTGGAAACTATGTAAAACAGTATCAGAAAAAAAATAGAAATGCCTTAAGAAATTTGACTAGTAGAAAGAAAATCCTACGCTTAGAGACACTGTTCTACAAAGCCTTGAGGCAATGCAAGTCACTGAAACCAAGTATTTCTCAGGAATATTATTTGTGACTTGCTGTCTAGCTTTCTGACTTGGTAGCATGAGGTTGGATTTCCAAGTGTAGATTGAGAACACAGAGCTGTAACTGAAGTCAGTGGGACTGGACATAAGCATCTAGAATTCTATGCAATATTAGGAAGTCTTAAGAAGAAAAAATTAAGACATCCAAAATGGAAACCCAAATCTATTTTTGTTTTTATTTCCATGAGCCTCATCTGCACAATACTCTATGACATGAGGGGTTTTTTGAATATATATGACAAAGTACTTGAATCCATGAGTACAGTGCAAATAAAACTACAAGATTGAAAAAGAAAAAAAAAAAAGACAGTCTGAATACTATAGAATGCTGACTACATGAGCCTCGTCTGTTCTCTCTACTGATACATGCAGACAAGATCTCACGCTAATATCTGAAAAAAATTCAATTTTGGTATTTTCAAACTTTTGAATGTTTAGTAACATTCTTCTAACAGCCTTTTGTATCGAATACAAATCAATGAATCAAACTGCGGAACTTTGGCATCCATTACAAGTTTACGAGTTTTACCTTTAAGGCACTAAGAACAGCAGTAAAGATATTAAGCTGCACAGCTTGCTGGCGAACACCTTTAGCCTGTTTGACACATTCAGCAAAGTGATCCAACATCTGTAATCTAAAATAAAGGAAAGAACATAATTTAAGTGATACTCTTTCAAAATACAAACTAAAACACAGCTGGTAAGAAAATGCACACAACAAAAGGGCCTTTTAAGTTCAGTCACAGAATTTATGCTTCAGGGGCTGCAGAAGGTATTCACTTTAGGTAGAAAGGGTAGCATTATTCTGAACGTCCCTTTCCTGGTTCTTTTAGTTCATCCACAAATGTTTGCTATTGCTTTTGAAGAAAACACCACCAAGAGGAAGTGAGTCTTCAGATACATTTGGCTGTATAACTAGAAGGCTATGAGGACAAGAGTGGAAAAATGCTGCCTCTCCACTACCATTCAAAATAGTGTTACCTTCCATATTCCTATTATTGTTCCTATTGTCTTCCCCATTTAACCTCCATTTTCCCCCCATTTAACCATGCCAGAAAGTGATACTGGGAGGAGGAGTACTCCCTAGAAGATACCAAGAACAGGAGTAAAATGAATAATCTGCATTCTTAACTACTCGGCAGTTCCCCAGTCAAATTTTCCATAGTTAACAATAGATATAGATCAAGTTGAATTACTGCAAGCTGGCCTCAAGTCTATCCTGCGTTTATTGCAAAATGAGATTGACTGCAAGGAAAAAACTGTTCCCATCAGGATTGCACTGAAGGATAATTTTACTTTGAAACGCGTCTTAGAGCTGCTTTCACTCTGTGCTCAGTGATGAATTAGCTAAACTGAATGACAAAAGTAGTCCTGACAACTCATAACTCTGCAAAGGTAATGTGGAACACAAAGGAAAATAAGCTGTATTCCATTCCCTCTTTTTCATCATGCATAAAATCATTTGCTGAGTATAAATCAAACGGTCTTACTCGTGGAAGCTAAATGAAATTCAATGGATGCCACTCCTATGCTTTCAAGGCTGATTTGAAGTTAATTGCAACGGATATTTTTGCAGGAAATTTTGGTTGCAGAGATATTACTACTGTTAAATGCAGTAACAGGAGAGAAGAATCTAGTCTCCACTTCTGAACCCTCATCTTCAGAACTGATAAAACTCAAAACTTCAAAACTGAGGAAATCACCTTATTTCTAAACTGAGTAGACATCTTCTGGAATCGTGAGACACAATGAACACCAAATACTGAACTCTGAATTTAAAGACAGTTGATATCAAAGTAGATTCTTATTTCAAGGAAAAAAAAAAAAAAATCGAAACATAATACTATCCAGAGAACAAGGCATTAGATTCTGAATCTGAACACTGATGTAAACTGACCTATGTTTGTAAGAGACATGAGGAAAAACCACACCAAAGAGAGCCACAGATGCATCGATGACAGATACTCCTAAAGGAAGGGGACCGGGTACAGCTTCACCAGCAGGGATGCGCAAATAAATAGAAGATGGATCATGTTCCAAAGCACCGCTTCCAGATGCACTGTTTGGCTGAAGCTGCAAAATGCCACATAACATGAATACTTCTGGATATACCTTCACACATAAAATTTGGAACTAGAGATAACCAAAACACGTATGCAGTAGCTTCGAACAACAAAATAGCTTACAAACACTTGAATGCAACTGCAGTGTACCCATGCATTCACACACTAGCATTTACAGGGCCAGCTAAATCCCAGAGGGTCAATGCAGTTAACAGCTGGATAAATGCACCATCACTCCTGGTAGTAAGAGATGGAAATTAGAGAAAAAAGGAAAACAGATTAATTCTGGTACTAATAGTAGCTTCTGAATCACTGACTACAAAGTGACATTTAAGAAAAAAGGTTATTCATTCACTCTCTGTTTGAGCACTGAGTTACAATA